TTTTATAAGACATTGTATAGTTTTGACAAAAGTGTTCCATTTTGCAAATTATCTGAGGTGTTGTGCTACTTTGGTGTAGTTTTGTGCTAAATGTGTGAAGGGCTTTGAAAAACCGGGACCTGTTTTCAAAATTGTGCTTAAGCAATTGAAAAAACTGTAAACGCAAGGAGCATCACAAAATCTGCACCTGTGGCAAAAACAAGTGTTAGAGTGCGTCGATTTCGGATCAATTCGTTTCTGCCGTGGCTCCACTAGCCTTTTCTCAATGGCGGTCATTTGGAAGGCAGATAGTGTTGTGGCTATGGGGAGCCATTTAGACAGCGGGGTTGGTTCACAGTGAATTTTGGTCACAGGCCCACGTCTACCAAAAGTCGAGGACAGGGAGCATCTGCCGAAACCAGGAAGGGAACCAGGAACCTTTAGATCTTCAGTCTAACGCTCCCCCAACTGAGTAATTTCAGCCACATAAGCCAGTGGTCTAAACAGCAGGGATTTCAATAAGACCACCCGTCACTTTGCGAGAAGAGCAGAGATGACATCCCAGAGAACAAAAGAGGCTGGCCGCAGGGGGATCGAAACTTGGCGTTATAAGCACCACGCTCTAATCAACTGAGCTAACCGGCCTGGTTCTGACTGGACTTCTTACCAATTTGCCAAAAATTTCCTTATAGCCTATGACACTAAAGAGACAGAAGAGATTCAGGACCAAGCCTCACCAAAGGCTCGTCCAGGAATTGCAGCATGGACATCTCGCACCCAAAGCCAGAATCATAACCCTAGACTAACAAGCCAGCTCGCTCTGCCATTGATCCGCTGCCTAGCACCGGGCATCCCTGTTCAAATGGCTTTAAACGCTAGGAGCATCTCGAAATCTGCATCTGTGGCAAAAACAAGTGTTAAAGTGCGTCGATTTCTGATAAATTTGTTTCTGCCGTGGCTCCACTAGCCTTACCTGTAGGGTGTGTAGGATAGTCAGCAAAGTCCTAATGAAAGTAGGAAGCTGATTTCAGAAATGGAAGACGAAGCAAGTTTTGCACACAGGCAGCTATTCCCAGTCATGCCAGTACAACTCCAATTAGCCCGCATGGGAAACGAACGAGACTTCCAAAACGTCTGGTCAATCGGACGTTTCAATTGCACACATCAAATAGCCAAGAATCGATGACCATAAAAAAAGAGAAGAAGCGCAAAGACAAACTGTGCTGCCTTTTTATGTCTGTATGTGTGCAGAAAAACAAATTGAATGTGTAATGAAGGTCCCTTGAGAGTACTTACCCTTATACAATTCTCATGGGTGCGAACTTACTTGATCACAAAAGTCACTTCTGATACAGGATCACAATCTTGTGAAAGCCAAATCAATTATTTGTAATAAAGCACATGTAAAAAAA